TGGCAACTAAGGAAGATCATGCTCTGGTTCCTAAGAGATATGGTGCACCCACAAGGACGAGTACTAATCTTGCCTTTCCTATTTCCATTCAATTGACGTGTCCCTTATATCTTCACCATTTATTTAGCTTATTTTCAGGTTTGCCTAGGTTGTTATCAAATGAGGAGAGGAGGCTTCAGGCTATAAAGACCCACCCCGTTAAGGATTGTACAATCCTTATGTCTGGAAAAGGTCAGGCTATCTTGAAAATACATCCCTTTATTCAAGCTTCGCAATAGATAGGTTGAGGGTGGAGGCTATCTATTCTATTAAGGCTACGTAGGTTACTCCTTTACCCAAGAGGGTGAAGTTTCATGATGCCCCTATAGCTTCCCAGTAGGTGATTCCTCCGCATGTTCCAGTTGTCCAGACACGTTCCTTGACTACCTCGCCAGCTAGGGCGTCTGAGAATCCTTTTCCCACATAGATCAGAGCATCCCCTAGTTCTCCCGCATCCAACAATGGTTTAGTTTTCATGGTTCAGTACGTGAATATTGCTAAGGATTGACTCTCGAGGTTTGTGTCAACCTTAGAGATTAGAGAGGTCAGCACTTAGGGTACCTATGGCATTATTGATACCATGGTGGAGGGCTTAGCCAGGGTAACCATCTGTACTTCTTTTTGTGGAATTTTATTCCTCGTATCTTCTTATGCCACTAATATTTTCCTCTTTTTGTGTGTTATAGGTGTCCGCAGCCGCTACGTGCCTTTTTTTTAGGAACAACTAGCATGAGCAGATATCGAGGACTTTGATGTGGGAGAGGCAAACATAACGGGCTATAGAGAAGGAGTTGAGGATGGCTTGAGAGAGTTACACCTCGTGAACTTTTGGGGACTCGCTAGAGAGCTACTAAACTGGAGGCTGCTTACCAAAGAATAGAGATAGTGTTGCGGATAGCTCATGAAAGGGCTACTAGAGCTGAGGCCCACTCCCAGGAGATAAAGGGGAGAAGGGAGGTTGTAGAGAAGACTATCCATGACATACAGGATAGTGTTGCGGGTGTTTTTATTGACGGCTATAAGGAGTTTAGGGGGAAGGCTTTAGCGATTTTTTTCCTATAATAGACTTCTTGGGATTTGTCCCATATGAGGAGTCGGGCGTAAGTGGTGACAATGATGGTGAGGATTCTGATAAGAATGGGTTAGCCAGCAACAAGGAGGGCGATGGCAGCGAAGGTAGCCAGAGTGCTGAGGATGTTTGATAGATTTTTCCTTTTGCCATTATGTTTTCTCTCTATTTTTTTTCACAAGGCTCTTTTCCCTTCTCCCCTTCACGTAAGGACTCAGCTCACTTGGCTTTGGTGACGTCCTCAACGTTTATGTATTTCTAGGCTTTTCATAGTAATTTTGGCATACTTTTTTACAGGTGCTTCAAAACTAAGAACATAAAACTAGATAAGCGCAGTCCTCCTATGAAGGCAATCATGGTGACTTTGGCATCTGGCTTTTTAATCTAAAGAACCTCCTTGTTTAAACGAGTCAGGTAACTCCTTAAACTTTTATCCCGATCTTGCTTGATGTTGAGCAAGTGGGTAGCAAGCTTCAGATGTCAGAGTTCCCCTATGAAATGGGAGATGAAGGATTTGTTTAGTTCGGCAAAAGAATCAATGGAAGCTGGTTTGAGTTTGGCGAACCATTGGCACATATATCCGTTGAGGGTGGTAGGAAAAGCCCTGCACATAATTTTCTCTAGTATGTTATGTTGCTGCATGAGAGATTTATAGGTGTCAAGGTGGTCCAATGGATCTTTGAATCGTCAAAAATTCCACAGTTGGCATTTTGAACTTTGTGGGGAGGGGGTAATTGGCCACATCATCTATGAATGGCATGTCAATACGCCTCACAAAGTACATCACCTTTTCTAACCCTCGCGCCTTCATAGCGTTGAAGACGTCTCCCAGTTGGTTCTGCACTTCTTTGATTTTTTTCATCCCAGTGGTTTAGCACGCCCTCCGAAAGGTTGTTATAGTGGCTTTCATGGCCCACTTACTAGTTTTCACCTTTATCTAAATGGAACGGAGGGTCCCTAGCATGGGAGGATGGAGCACATGCACGAGTAGAGGGAGTCGAGGCACCCTAGCGCTGAGGTGGGGGCACGTTGGCACTATAATGGGGGGCCTTAGCGTGCTGGGCAAGGTGCCTGGGGCTTTGGCCCTCTTGGGTGCTGGGGCACAACTCCTCGAGGGTGCCCATCAAGCATCAATTGAAGGAGTTAATGGTTTTGGTTTACCAATAATTGCATAATCTTCAATAATTGTGGTTGAGCGACGGGGTTTGTCAGCGGGGCAGAACCTCATTGTGACGTGGTTGATCATTGATTAGCACAAAAACATTGCATATTTTAGGTGCTAATCATCCTATTTTCAATTGCCTTTGGGGGTTAAATGATTGGAGTTGTATTATTAGAGTTCTTAACGAAGGTTTTTGGTGTTTACAGAAAAAGGCACTAAATGAGGCTTTTTAAAGCCTTCTCAAATGAGTTGAGGTGAATAAGAATGAAAGAGTGGCTAAAGAATGACTCAAGAGTGAAGAAATTAGAAAAATCAAACAAAGTAGTAGAAGTGTACTGGTACGCAGTACCGGTACGGTTTGGCCACTGGAACATAGCGTACCGGTACACAATACCAGTACAGTTCTTCCTCTGAAGTTCGGGGTACCGGTACAGTTTGCTATCCCTGCCCCAATCTCTGCAACTCAGATCCGCCGTTCTTGAGGGTCCCACCAACAAATCTCCCACACTCCTCTGATACCCCCCACAACACTGTTCATCCCTGTCACACCTTTCTTTAGACTTTTGGAGCCATGGTGATCAATGAGGAGAGAGAAGAGAAGAGAAGCTGGGTGTACAGACAAGGTCTGCATCCCCCTGTCTAGCCCATTCCTCTTGCAGCTCTATGGATGGAGATCACATCTGCAAGCTAGGCCATCACTCCAAGCACATTTTTGGCAAGATAGGACTCCATTGTTCAACATTCCATACACTACACAAGAGGATATATAGAGAGAGAGTCTGGGTAGAAGATGATGAATAGTGTTCTAGAAAGATAAAATTGAGATTTTTACATTTTCTTCAATACATTATCTTGTAATCTCCTGGAAGAATCTTTAGAGGTTCATTTAATGTCATTAATGTTAGTTTCTACAAGTTCGTTGCAAAATTAATTCTCTTTTAAAACTTTCACCATTAATGCATTTATGTTCTTCATTCTTCCTAGCTATAAAATGGGTATTCATTGCTTTCACTTATAGCTTATGTTTGCTTGCATTTAGTTACTCAAGAACTTCATTCTTTGCAATGCATTCTCATTACATTGTTAATTTCATCCCAAGCATGAGTAGCTAAATCCTTTAGTTGGCAAAATCAAGGAGAACCTCCACTTGGGTATGTCATTTCAACTCATTCTCTTCCCTATTTTCAGAGTTCAATGGTTCGGTTTGACTGGATTGAGGGTGGATAAGTTGGTGAGTTTTTGATATTCCGTAGGCCTAGTCATGATTTTTGCTTAGATACTCACTCATCTTCTCCCTAACTTCTCATGAATCAATCATTCATTTATGCTCTATTAGAGGAGGGATTCGAGTTGAGATGGTATTCCTATTGGAGTAACCTCTTGGATTAGCCAACGTTTGTTTCTCATTTTATTTTCACCAAAACACACTTCACTCACAAAACCCAAATAACTTTCAACAACAAAAGATTTTATATTTTCTTTCACCTAAAATCACATTCCCCTTGGTTTACATCCTTCCCCGTGGAAACAACCTTGGAATACCTCCAAGTAAAACACGACCCACAAAAGTCTCCTTGCGCTTGTGGAACATTTTTGTTCATACACATAACACATTTCCACCATCCCATTTTCCCATCTCCTTTCCCTTTCTTTTGACACTACTCAAAGGGAGAGTGACACTCCCCTCCATCCACATACAATACATTTTGAGGGATGATATTTAGGGGTGAGGGATAACAAGGAAAAATATCAAGCAATCATCATCTTCCCTTTATTGATTCATGGATCTAGTTGTAAAAGCCATAAGAAACGAGAATACAGAATGTTGAAAACTAAATCTTTCCCACAAACGACGTCAAACTGATGATGCACAAAAGTATTTATGTAAAATAAATCAAGTATCTAATGGAATATGTGATGGGGTACGTTGAACNGTTGAAAACTAAATCTTTCCCACAAACGACGTCAAACTGATGATGCACAAAAATATTTATGTAAAATAAATCAAGTATCTAATGGAATATGTGATGGGGTACGTTGAACACAATCAAACACACATAATAGGTAGTTTGGTTTGAGTGACCTACTCTACAAGGAATGGCTACGGTGGTCAAAGAATTTTATTACGTAAGGTATATAGAGTGCTAAGAGATGAGTGATGCCCCCTATGTGTATGCGGAGTTTACAATTTACAGGCAAGTAATGTTTCATAACAGCTCCGAGGGAGCCCTGATTTAGGCGTCATTCTCATAACAGGGAGCAAGATGTTTCCATGACGCTGGCTTTATTCTCGTAACAAGCGAGGTGGTTCCGTGAAGCTGGAGATGTGCACACCAATGGCTGTGTTCCACAGATTCACGGAGATCCCTATGTGCGCAAGTAATAGACTAGGTCTTTTAAGACAGTAGACTTAACCCAATTGAAATTGAAACTAAGCTTTTGTTGATCTACATCTGTGATCTGAGTCAAGTCTAAACCGAGCCCATCAATTACAATAGTGTTTCAAATGGAAGAAAAGAAAACTTACAGTTAAAAAAATTGGCGGCCTGATGAGGTAGTGAGTCTTCCATATATTTACATAAAAGTTAAAGACATGATACAACTGTCTCTTCACCAACTAAAGGGAATTTTTTACTCAACACACATATAAGAGCATATATAAGAAGAGGACATAATAGAAAAGAAAATATTAATTTCCAAGATAAATATTTGATAGCCAGAATTTGTGGAGATTCCTTACCATAAAGGTCATCATCAGTGGCAGAAATGTTACATCCCCTTCCAGAATTATGTCCTGGAGGGCACAATCATGGGACTTGAGAAAATATAATTCAATGGTAAGACATGACAGAGTCGGTATCTGTGATTTGACTAGTAAGCTCAATGGCCGGACTTATCTCTTGAGTTGTTTGCTCAAGTGAATTTGGATCACCAAACTCATGTGAAGGAGTTCCTTGATTTCCAAAAAACACACAGCTCTGCTCTGGTCGAGGCGAAAAGTTTAATGGACTTGGTGGGGCATTACTATTCGAGGAGGCATGGAGTGTGAACATAGATGGAGTTGGTGAGCAATTAGTAAGAGTTGAGGCTTCAGGTGAACCCAATCTATCCATCCCAATCCTGCAACTTCTGTCTCGGACTTCTCTTCTTAGGAAAATATGTGAGCTCAAGTCTTTTTGATCGAAGGCTCTAGCAAACATAACAAGTGTTTTCCATATTGAAGAATTGGGATCACAGCATCTTATGGTGTCCCAATGCTCGTGTATGAACGTAATCATAAATATGGCCAAAGCTAAACCCGAAGTGACTCCAACAATGAGGAAGAGGCCCCAGAAGCTCTCAAGACCTAGGCTGTTGAAAGAAAGGGAGGTGGTAGAGCCTGCACAACTAGTTTCTTGCCCCAACCATTTTCTCTCAAGTTCTATAATCTTATCTCCTTCGGTCACATGTAGGACTGCTCTTGAAACATCTGGTACTAAAGGGGAACCTTTTGGAAACACCTGCATTTCACAATTTGTAAGAAAATCACACAAAATATGATTTAAATGAGAAGAGAGAGAGATAGAGAGAGGTTGCATACAAAGCCCAAGCCAGCGGTCTTATATGTTGGTCCAACCATGGTATATTTTGAGCAGTATTTTGAAAAGAAAAGCTTAATCCAGGGGGTCTCAAGGAATACAGCCGCGAAACCACCATTTCCACTCCCTTTCGAAAAAAGTTCATGGCATTCTTCAGCAGAACTAAATGGCTTAAGTTTGTTTTCATGGAAGCCCATTTGCTTTAGTAGCCCTAAAAAAAAAGAACCCTCTTGGTATCCCACATATGCCCCTTTATTTATAAGTTCATTCACATCTGTAACTGTAGGTTGGAGGTGTTGAACCGTTAACATCGATGCAAGACTTGCCGTGTAACTTTGGCTCAGTATGAGTACCACAAACACCCAAATGATCACCACAAACCTGGACAAGTTGCCCACCATCTTCTCTTCTGCAAAAAAATTGAGCATTCCGTTGTCAATATAAACTCTATATGATATTTGAATTACATCTTATCCCAATTGAATTCTAAATATTTTGTTCTCCAGCTCGATCATGAGAAAGCCATGGAACTTCCAAGAATTGAAAGCTAAAGCAAAAAATGCTAGTACATATTTGTTCACACCATTTCTGCAATGTCACTATTCTATAACAAAGAAATTCTTGGCTGCCATATTTTTCACATCATTATCTTTAATAAACGTAATTTGGCTACAATTTTACCTAGATCATGGATCAATTTGGTATGTGTATCATTATTTCTCAGATACACGCGCGATGTGGTAGTCTTAATTACTATGCTATTTTTGGTTCATGTTTTGTTTTGTAACTTTCATTCGAATCACTTTTACTAATTATTTGAGATAGACTATAATTAAATTTTCTTTTGCATATAATATTAAGTTTAGGTGTATGATAAGAGTTTCAAACCAAACTATAAATAATATACCGGTTAATGCATGGTTGTGAATAATAAAAGTTAATTGCTACTGGTATTATGAAAAAAAAATAGATCATGAAAAATCAACCTACAGAAGTTTTAAAATAACTAAAATAAAGAAATAATATGCTAGTTAGAATTACAATTTGAGGTTACCTACATCATGGGTTCGGGTTAGGGTTATAATTTAAAGTCAATAATTTGGACAATCTAGATTACAAACCCACACCCACTTGGGGTTATCCCTAGATCGTCGGGCTCTTTGGACACCTAAAATCCCGTCATCCATTTCCTGATGGAGCTAGTGTGTTTCTTTCATTTGCAATGCATTACATGTTTGGACAATTCCTACAAATGTTTTATGGTCATTGTACAAGTGAAAGAGGGGAAGTGAACTTACTATGTGCAAAAACCATGGTTGAGAAGGAAAACCAGAACATCGTCCCAATTTGGTGTGAAGGAGGTCCCCTAAAATCTTGATTTAGTCGATGTTCAAGAACCCAAATGACAAAACCAATAAATACAAACGAACAAAAGCTTGTCACCCAAAGCTCCCAAGTCAATGGCTTCAAGAACACCCAAGCATTTTTACTCTCATTATCTTTGAAAGGTACAACCATTGAAACCTCGGACTCGGCAAATGGTATAGTAAAGTCCACATATTGTGACCTACTTGCGGTTATAGTTGTATCTCCTGCAACTGCATCATATTTCTGTTCATCACGCAATTAGTCAATATCTTACTAATCCGTGACAGAAATATGAACATAATAATTTAAGGATGCAAAATAAAACTAAAAATAGATACGTAATTGACCTCTTTGTGTAATTACTTGATTATGAATTCTTATTCTGTTGTAAATGTTGAAATAGTAGCAAACGCGTATAGTAGTCTCACCCACTTTACTTTTACATGTAATTCTATAAGAAAGTTTAAAAAAACCAAGGTAAAGAGGGAGAACATTACCCCAAGATACACTTGATAGACCAAATCATTGTAAGTACCAGCACTCTTGCCATCATCAGTTGCAAATGGAACATATTCATAAGGAACCGTATAGGGTAATGCTTCCATTACAGTGTTGAAAATATCAATGCAGTACCCGGTGACATTCGTCGTGTTAGTACCTGGATTTCGTTTTACAACTACAAATTTTAGAAAGCCACTCTTCACTGGAACTCCTATTCTCAACTTCTTCCCATTTGTTGGAATCTCCCAACCCTTGGGAGGGCATGTCCTATTGCCTGGCCATATAATAGATCCAAGGTTAGCCTTTGAAATGGAATTTTTGTTCTTATTTCTGATGTCTAGTTCCCTAACAATCCCATTTTCTGCTGTCCAAAAACCAATTCCTTGACCTCCATCGCCAATCACATTAATTATTTGAAAAACCGATGATTGCAGTTGCCTTTCAACTAAGTAGAAATCTCCATTGAGGCCCCTAAATTTTGTATTTTGAAGTGCTTGGAGAAGCATAGGACCATTTGAAGAGACTTCAAAAGTTTCAAGATTTGTTGAATTTTTTATTGATCTGTTTGCCTTTTGGAAGCCAAGATTGTTATCCCCAACTTTTTCAACTGCAATTGCTAGTGCAGTAGCCGCATCGTAAGCCCCTAGTTCGAAAACACCCAACTCTGTGTTAAACATAGTTGGGTTGTCTAGTAGAAATTGCCTTTTCCATCTAATGGTAAAATCTTCAAGCTTTTTTGTTCTTGGAACATTAGATTTCACCCCTATTGCCCCTTGCATAGAATCAATGACCGATGAATTTATCGAGTGCAGTTCATTAATCAAGGCATCACTTATGATCCAAACATAGCCTTCTGTCATCATTCCTAACTCTTTTGCTTTGATAAAAAGTCGAGAACCAAGGGTCGACAACATGTGGACAATGAATACTCTGGTTTTCATTGTCCTCAACTTTTTAAGTTCTGCAACAAGTTGATCATCTGTGGCTGAAGCAGGAATAGTGCTTCGGTTGGGGACAATAACGTAAATCTCTTGCAAAGCATCAGTCAAAAAAGGTATAATCCCTTCTCCAAACTCATTGTCTACATAGATTGGCACGACTTCTTTCCATCCAAATGCTTGCACAATTGCGCTAATGGCTTTGACTTGAGAAGAATCATTATGCGTAGCACGGATAAAATATGGTGAAGAAAGAGGAGGGCTTGTTGCAGAAAATGAAATAATGGGCACTTGAGCTTTGTGTCCGAGTTCAATCACGAAGTCGGCCTGCATGGATGTTGATGGCCCTATTATGGCTTTTACTTGGACATTTTTCAGCAGGTCAAGAGCTGAATTTTGGAGAAGAAGAATTGGAAATAAGAATCGCATTCTTAAATTCACGGATTATTATGTTTGGATAATCATAAATCAATAATTTAATTCAAAAAATAAGATTACTATTGGAATTAAATTTTCAATCATAGTGGGCATACTAAACTCATGATCAATTGAGGTTGGTAATTCAATATCCAGCTTGATTGAAAATTCTGAAAAAATGTTAAAATTTTTAAAATTAATTTTCTTTCTAAAAAATTAAGTTCATTCTTAAAATCAAGTTCCTTCCTTAAAATAAAATTATTAAAATAATTATGAAATAAATGCTAATTCCCATACTAAATTATTAATAACAACCAAAAACCTAATAAAAGATTCCTACAATATTTAAAATCCAAATAGTTTTTACTGGGAATGAAAATTTTATTCCCAATTAAAATTAATGCCTTTCAAAAAGAGTCTAACATCTCGCATAGCGACAAGATACAAAGACAAGAAAGTTTATTTTTTTTTTTCTTTGGAGAATTACATCCAAACTCTATAACGTTTATCACTTAATCAATTAGACTCTTGACATTTAAAATATTACATACAGATCCCTTAAAATTTGTAAGTGCGTAACATTTAGACTCCTGCCGTCAATATTCGTTAGTATATCTGTTAGTAAATCACACTCAGACTCCCTGAAATTTGTAGGCATATAATATTTAAACACCTCAAGTTTAAATGTTATACTTAAATCAAAAATACTTAATCAAAAATAAAATAACAAATATTTTAAATTTTACAACTAAAATTCATGTTTTANACTTAGACTCCTGCCGTCAATATTCATTAGTATATTTGTTAGTAAATCACACTCAGACCCCCTGAAATTTGTAGGCATATAATATTTAAACACCTCAAGTTTAAATGTTATACTTAAATCAAAAATACTCTAATCAAAAATAAAATAACAAATATTTTAAATTTTACAACTAAAATTCATGTTTTATTGTATCATTTATTGAAATAAAATTAAAAATAAAAATCTATTTTTTTTTCTTAAAAAATCATAATTAGTATACAATTATACTATATATTGGAATAAAACTAAAAAAATCAAATAAAGAGTCTAAATCACTTGTAATAGAATATGAATTTTACAATCAAAATTCATGTTCTATTATGTTATTTATTGTAATAAAATCAGAAATAAAAATCTAATTTTTTTGTAGAAAATCATAATTAGTATATAATTATATTATCTATTAGAATAAAACTAAAAAATCAAACAAGAGATCAAACTATAATGAACACAACAGTCGTTTAAATGACCAAATTAAATTTTAATAAATAATATAATTATATACTAATTATGATTTTTTATGAAAAAAAATTAGATTTTTATTTTTGATTTTATTATAATAAATAACATAATAGAACAAGAATTTTAATTATAAAATTTAAAATATTTGATATTTATCTTTCATTGAAGTATTTTTTTTATTATCTCAATTACAGATAGAAAATATTATGTGCATTATAGTTTGACTCTTCATTTGATTTTTTAGTTTATTTCAATAGATAGTATAATTGAATAAATATCATAATAGAACATAAATTTTGATTATAAGATTTAAAATATTGAATATTTCATTTTTACTTGGAGTATTTTATATTTAAGTATAATATTTTAAACTTAAGAGATCTAATTATTATACATCTACAAATTTCAGGGGATCTGGATATAATTTACTAACAGATATACAAATCGACATTAACGACAGGAGTCTAAATGTCACGAGCGTACAAACTTTAGGGAAATCTGTATGTAATATTTTAAAGAGCAATGCTACATGGACTTAAAAAATAAATTTAAAAACTAAATTTGATAATCTCAACCATTGATTTCACTGTGGGTCCCAGCATTTATTGGGACTCAATATCTATGCAATGGTTGAGATTATCAAGTCTAATTTTTTAAATCTATTTTTTAAGTCTATCTAACATTACTCTATTTTAAATATTAGTTGGTCCGAATGATTAAGTAACTTATGTAAGAAAATTTGAGTATAATTTCCCCTTATTTTTTTCTACTCATGTTTCCTAGGTTTGCGCCGAGGGAAAATCTGGTGGGTGAGCAATAGTGGAACATGGAACAATAGATGCGTATACATATATAGAGAGAGAGAGAGAGAGAGAGAGTACCCGCTGAAGCAGCACCAACAACATCATTCTTGGAGTCTCTGGGGTTTAGAACAAGCCGAGTCCTATAGTGACCATTGGAGGCATAGAAGTCTGAGAGAGCCATTGAGATACAGCTCAGCCACTTCTTCCCAACCATGGTATCCATATCAAGAATCAGTCCCACATTTACGGGAATTGTTGTGGTCTGTGCCATGGCCATATGAATGGGCAAAGTCTTTAGAGAGAGGAAGAAGAAGTAAAATGAGAACACGATTTGGGTTGGTTTAGTATTCCCCATGTTGGAACTTATCAGCAGCTTTGAAGTTCATTGCATTGGCATAGAAGTGTTATATATAGTAGGTAAGGATTGAAAAGTAAGAATAAGGTGCCTCGGACTGCATTAAATTTTGTAGGACCGCTAGTCTCTGTATATNAAATTTTAAATTTTGAATATTTCATTTTTACTTGGAGTATTTTATATTTAAGTATAATATTTTAAACTTAAGAGATCTAATTATTATACATCTACAAATTTCAGGGGATCTGGATATAATTTACTAACAGATATACAAATCGACATTAACGACAGGAGTCTAAATGTCACGAGCGTACAAACTTTAGGGAAATCTGTATGTAATATTTTAAAGAGCAATGCTACATGGACTTAAAAAATAAATTTAAAAACTAAATTTGATAATCTCAACCATTGATTTCACTGTGGGTCCCAGCATTTATTGGGACTCAATATCTATGCAATGGTTGAGATTATCAAGTCTAATTTTTTAAATCTACTTTTTAAGTCTATCTAACATTACTCTATTTTAAATATTAGTTGGTCTGAATGATTAAATAACTTATGTAAGAAAATTTGAGTATAATTTCCCCTTATTTTTTTCTACTCATGTTTCCCAGGTTTGCGCCGAGGGAAAATCTGGTGGGTGAGCAATAGTGGAACATGGAACAATAGATGCGTATACATATAGAGAGAGAGAGAGAGAGAGAGAGAGAGAGAGAGAGAGTACCCGCTGAAGCAGCACCAACAACATCATTCTTGGAGTCTCTGGGGTTTAGAACAAGCCGAGTCCTATAGTGACCATTGGAGGCATAGAAGTCTGAGAGAGCCATTGAGATACAGCTCAGCCACTTCTTCCCAACCATGGTATCCATATCAAGAATCAGTCCCACATTTACGGGAATTGTTGTGGTCTGTGCCATGGCCATATGAATGGGCAAAGTCTTTAGAGAGAGGAAGAAGAAGTAAAATGAGAACACGATTTGGGTTGGTTTAGTATTCCCCATGTTGGAACTTATCAGCAGCTTTGAAGTTCATTGCATTGGCATAGAAGTGTTATATATAGTAGGTAAGGATTGAAAAGTAAGAATAAGGTGCCTCGGACTGCATTAAATTTTGTAGGACCGCTAGTCTCTGTATATATTTATACACTATACACACATATATGTGAGTACTCAGAAGTATAACTACCTCTTTAACCTAATTAGCTAACTCCACTCATGAAATGTCAGAATTATCCTTATTTCTGTCCCCTGTGAAATGTCACTATTACTCTCATTTCTTTCTATATGACCAACCATAGAATTATCAAAAATTCATAAGCGCGTGTTGACTGATACTGACTTTGAATAATTGCAAGTTCTATGAATCTTCTAATTTTTAGACATTAATGAATTACAACTATAGTCCCATTCAGTCATAATTTTTTTTTTTTTGGGTTGGAACCTAATTTTCCATAAATCTTTTTTTTATATTTGTTATGAAATCCGTTATTTTTCAATTTTATCTTATTATCTCTTCCCTTTAAAAGTGAAATAAAGCTAAAAATTAAAAACTCTTAATTCTTAAGAGTTTAACTATCATTAAAATCTTTTCTCTCTCGTATCTATCTATATCCACATATATATTAAGAGTTTGATTAACATTAAAATTTAGGTTATATATATATATATAGTAATATTAAAAATAAAAAATAATAACATTCAAATACAAAAAAAAGTTATTATTTAGACACAAAAAATAAAACATTTAAACACAAAAAAATAGTAACATTTAAACATAAAAAAATTGAAACATTCAATATTAATATTTTTAAAAAGTAACAATAGTAACATGTTCAACAAATATATTAACATATTCAACAAAAATAGTAACATATTTAACAAAAACTGTAACCTACTTAACAATAATTATTTTTCTTAAATTCAAACGCAAAAAATAGTACTATTCAAATACAAAAAATAGTAATATTCAAAAAAAAAATAGTAATATTGAATATTAATATTTAGGAAAATAATAATCGTAACATGGTCAACAAAAATAGTAACATGTTCAAAAATAATAATACTTGAACAGTAACATATTCAACAAAAATAATAACATAAACAGTAATATAATAAAAAAAACAGTAACATGAATTTGAATTTTACTAATCAAATTCATAGAAACTTTTTTTNTTTTTTTTTTTTTCTTTGGAGAATTACATCCAAACTCTATAACGTTTATCACTTAATCAATTAGACTCTTGACATTTAAAATATTACATACAGATCCCTTAAAATTTGTAAGTGCGTAACACTTAGACTCCTGCCGTCAATATTCGTTAGTATATCTGTTAGTAAATCACACTCAGACCCCCTGAAATTTGTAGGCATATAATATTTAAACACCTCAAGTTTAAATGTTATACTTAAATCAAAAATACTCTAATCAAAAATAAAATAACAAATATTTTAAATTTTACAACTAAAATTCATGTTTTATTGTATCATTTATTGAAATAAAATTAAAAATAAAAATCTATTTTTTTTTCTTAAAAAATCATAATTAGTATACAATTATACTATATATTGGAATAAAACTAAAAAAATCAAATAAAGAGTCTAAATCACTTGTAATAGAATATGAATTTTACAATCAAAATTCATGTTCTATTATGTTATTTATTGTAATAAAATCAGAAATAAAAATCTAATTTTTTTGTAGAAAATCATAATTAGTATATAATTATATTATCTATTAGAATAAAACTAAAAAATCAAACAAGAGATCAAACTATAATGAACACAACAGTCGTTTAAATGACCAAATTAAATTTTAATAAATAATATAATTATATACTAATTATGATTTTTTATGAAAAAAAATTAGATTTTTATTTTTGATTTTATTATAATAAATAACATAATAGAACAAGAATTTTAATTATAAAATTTAAAATATTTGATATTTATCTTTCATTGAAGTATTTTTTTTATTATCTCAATTAAAGATAGAAAATATTATGTGCATTATAGTTTGACTCTTCATTTGATTTTTTAGTTTATTTCAATAGATAGTATAATTGAATAAATATCATAATAGAACATAAATTTTGATTATAAGATTTAAAATATTGAATATTTCATTTTTACTTGGAGTATTTTATATTTAAGTATAATATTTTAAACTTAAGAGATCTAATTATTATACATCTACAAATTTCAGGGGATCTGGATATAATTTACTAACAGATATACAAATCGACATTAACGACAGGAGTCTAAATGTCACGAGCGTACAAACTTTAGGGAAATCTGTATGTAATATTTTAAAGAGCAATGCTACATGGACTTAAAAAATAAATTTAAAAACTAAATTTGATAATCTCAACCATTGATTTCACTGTGGGTCACAGCATTTATTGGGACTCAATATCTATGCAATGGTTGAGATTATCAAGTCTAATTTTTTAAATCTATTTTTTAAGTCTATCTAACATTACTCTATTTTAAATATTAGTTGGTCCGAATGATTAAGTAACTTATGTAAGAAAATTTGAGTATAATTTCCCCTTATTTTTTTCTACTCATGTTTCCTAGGTTTGCGCCGAGGGAAAATCTGGTGGGTGAGCAATAGTGGAACATGGAACAATAGATGCGTATACATATATAGAGAGAGAGAGAGAGAGAGAGAGTACCCGCTGAAGCAGCACCAACAACATCATTCTTGGAGTCTCTGGGGTTTAGAACAAGCCGAGTCCTATAGTGACCATTGGAGGCATAGAAGTCTGAGAGAGCCATTGAGATACAGCTCAGCCACTTCTTCCCAACCATGGTATCCATATCAAGAATCAGTCCCACATTTACGGGAATTGTTGTGGTCTGTGCCATGGCCATATGAATGGGCAAAGTCTTTAGAGAGAGGAAGAAGAAGTAAAATGAGAACACGATTTGGGTTGGTTTAGTATTCCCCATGTTGGAACTTATCAGCAGCTTTGAAGTTCATTGCATTGGCATAGAAGTGTTATATAGAGTAGGTAAGGATTGAAAAGTAAGAATAAGGTGCCTCGGACTGCATTAAATTTTGTAGGACCGCTAGTCTCTGTATATATTTATACACTATACACACATATATGTGAGTACTCAGAAGTATAACTACCTCTTTAACCTAATTAGCTAACTCCACTCATGAAATGTCAGAATTATCCTTATTTCTGTCCCCTGTGAAATGTCACTATTACTCTCATTTCTTTCTATATGACCAACCATAGAATTATCAAAAATTCATAAGCGCGTGTTGACTGATACTGACTTTGAATAATTGCAAGTTCTATGAATCTTCTAATTTTTAGACATTAATGAATTACAACTATAGTCCCATTCAGTCATAATTTTTTTTTTTTTGGGTTGGAACCTAATTTTCCATAAATCTTTTTTTTATATTTGTTATGAAATCCGTTATTTTTCAATTTTATCTTATTATCTCTTCCCTTTAAAAGTGAAATAAAGCTAAAAATTAAAAACTCTTAATTCTTAAGAGTTTAACTATCATTAAAATCTTTTCTCTCTCGTATCTATCTATATCCACATATATATTAAGAGTTTGATTAACATTAAAATTTAGGTTATATATATATATATATAGTAATATTAAAAATAAAAAATAATAACATTCAAATACAAAAAAAAGTTATTATTTAGACACAAAAAATAAAACATTTAAACACAAAAAAATAGTAACATTTAAACATAAAAAAATTGAAACATTCAATATTAATATTTTTAAAAAGTAACAATAGTAACATGTTCAACAAATATATTAACATATTCAACAAAAATAGTAACATATTTAACAAAAACTGTAACCTACTTAACAATAATTATTTCTCTCAAATTCAAACGCAAAAAATAGTACTATTCAAATACAAAAAATAGTAATATTCAAAAAAAAATAGTAATATTGAATATTAATATTTAGGAAAATAATAATCGTAACATGGTCAACAAAAATAGTAACATGTTCAAAAATAATAATACTTGAACAGTAACATATTCAACAAAAATAATAACATAAACAGTAATATAATAAAAAAAACAGTAACATGAATTTGAATTTTACTAATCAAATTCATAGAAACTTTTTTTTTGTATTTGAATGTTATTATTTTTTTTCAATGTTACTATATATATACCTAACCTATATATAGATATAGATAGATAAGAGAGAGAAAAATTTTTAATATTAGTTAAACGTTTAACCTATATATGAATATAGATAGATATGAGAGAGAAAAGATTAATTTTTTTTCAAAGAATGGTATTTTTGAGATAAAAAAAAAATTGACTTAAGTCATTACATATAATTTTAAACATGGACTTAACCCCTTATAAGTTTTCTTGCAGGACTTATCTTCAAACAAGTACATTTAAGGGGACTCACTTCCAATTTTCACTACAATTTTTTCTAATGGAAAATTTGACGGATGGTGATGATGGACCACTTGATTGTTTACCCAAAATGGGAAAGAAAAAAAAATTGATAAGGGCCAAAGTGAAAGTTGCGAAGTAGTTTAAGAAGCAATCTTGTTTTTAACATTTTATTCCCTCGAAAGTACAAAATTAAAGTAAATGTTTTTATCCGCAATTTCCGTTAGTTCTTGCGTTCTAGACGAGGGAAGAGTGAGNATTTTTAATATTAGTTAAACTTTTAACCTATATATGAATATAGATAGATATGAGAGAGAAAAGATTAATTTTTTTTCAAAGAATGGTATTTTTGAGATAAAAAAAAAAATTGACTTAAGTCATTACATATAATTTTAAACATGGACTTAGCCCCTTATAAGTTTCCTTGCAGGACTTATCTTCAAACAAGTACATCTAAGGGGACTCACTTCCAATTTTCACTACAATTTTTTCTAATGGAAAATTTGACAGATGGTGATGAT